GGTATCAATTTGAAGTTGGCCTCTATATGCCATGCTCAAAAGTGCTGTAAGGTGTTTAGTCCTGCACACACTTCAGGAGGTGAGAGTTTTAATATTCATTGCTGAATATTAAAACTGTTCCAGGACAAAATTTAACTGCATAATAACCTGCATAATTGCAGACCTGTTGGCCTTACGTCCATTGTAGGAAAAACAACGGAAAAGCTCATAATAGAGAGAGATCTAGCGATGCTAGATAGGGAAGGGAGGCTGGCAGCCACACAACACGGCTTCCGCAAAAACAGGTCCTGCCAGACAAACCTTGTGGAATTCTATGACAAGGTTTTGAGATGGCTGGATGGAGGGGATGCAGTGGATGTGGTTTACCTGGATTTCAGCAAGGCCGTTGACCAAGTGCCCCATGATATCCTGGTGGAGAAACTGAGGAGTTTTGGGATACACCAAAGCACTGTCCAATGGATTAGGGCATGGTTGACTGACCGAAAGCAGAGGGTAACCATTAGTGGGGAATCATCGGAATGGCGGCCAGTGACAAGCGGGGTCCCCCAGGGCTCTCTCCTGGGGCCGATCCTGTTTAATCTTTTCATTAACGACATGGAAGAAGGGGTGAACAGTCTGCTGATCAAATTCGCAGACGACACTAAAACTGGAGCAGTGGCCACAACTGAGGAGCAGGTACTCCAAATCCAAAAGGATCTGGACAGACTATGGAAGTGGGCAGGAGACAACAGGATGGCGTTCAATGTGGATAAGTGCAAGGTCTTGCACTTGGGGCATAGGAATATGTGTCATAAGTACAGGTTAGGTGACAAGTGGCTGGAGAGCAGCACTTGTGAAAGGGACCTTGGGGTACTGGTTGACTGCAGGCTGAACATGAGCCAGCAGTGTGATGCGGTGGTCAAGAGGGCGAATGCCACCCTTGGTTGCATAGCCAGAAGTGTGGCTTCTAGTTCAAGAGAGGTATTACTACCACTCTACATGACTCTAGTATGCCTGCAACTGGAGTATCGTGTTCAGTTTTGGGCCTCTCATTACAGAAAGGATATAGCCAGGTTGGAGTCAGTGCAGCGTAGGGCCACAAGGTTGGTGGTCAGTTTGCAGGGGATGCCGTATGAGGCGAGACTGAGGGAACTGGGTCTCTCCAGCCTGGAGGAGACTCCGAGGGGATCTGTTGGTGACATACAGGTATGTGAGGGGACGTCACATGGAGGTGGGTAGAGACCTGTTCTCCCCTGCAGAGGAAGGCAGAATGCACTCCAACGGAGCAAAGCTCAGGGAGCCAAGGTTTCGTTTGGATGCCAGGAAGCACTTCCTGATAGTCAGGAACCCAAGGGTGTGGAATGGGCTTCCACGAGAGGTTGTTGAGGCCCCATCGGTGCGGGTGTGCAAGGGTAGGCTGGATGTCCACATGGTGGGCATGTCGTGAGCGAAGCCGGCTGGTGCCGGAGGTCAGACTAGATGGCCTGGGAGGTCCCTTCTGACTCGTTCTGTTTTCTGTGTTTCTATTTTTGCCAAACAAATGGTAGGTGAAATATAACGTCCTCTATTGCTCGATTTTGGGGGTGAGGTTTTTTTGTAAAGGTCTGCAATGAGTTCAGTATGTGGACTTTACATTTTTTCAGGAATGTTATTTAAGTTGTATTTTGGCAGTATGTTTTTGTTTCTGATCTGCAAAAGATTTTGATATTAAGAGTCCATGTTCACTCCCTTATCTGCTCCTGGTCTTGTTTTGGCAGCAAAAATACAGCTTCTTCATCTCCTACTTCCAGTTACTTGATTTCTCTATAACGCCCAACAATATTGCTGTCTTATCATGATATAGGTGTATATCTGGCCATTTTGTCTATGTTTGTCTAAGAACATAAGACAAGCCACGCCTGATCAGAGGAAAGGTCCATCTAGTCCAGCACGCCATACACACAGTGGCAAACCAGCTGCCCACAGGCTCCCTTCAGCAGGATGAGACCTCCCCCTGCCCAGCTCCTCAGCAACGGATGTATGCAAGCAGGCCATCCCTGAAGGAGCAGCCCTTGGCCAGCAAGGCCAGTAGCCACTGATCGCGTCCTTCTTCATGACTGCCTTTAGGGAAGTTAAGGTGCAGTCCTATGCATATTTAGGCAGAAAAAGGTCCTCTAATTCCCAGCAGGAATACTGGGAATTACAGGGGTTTTTTCCCCTCCAAACATGCATAGGATTGCAGCCTTAGCAGCTGAATGGAAGACAAAGGAATTTGGAGAAAATGTACCAGTGGCACAACAGGTATTAAGTCCTGCACATTGAGGATGGGGTTGTTACTGAGTCTAAGTAAAAGGCAGGTGAGAGATGCCCCCATCAGCTTGCGGCTAGCATCGCTGCTTCTTTTTAAAGAAGACTTTCGCTGCCACGATTAACATCACCACACCCAGCAAAGACACACAGCTTTGTCCTTTGGCATGCCCATGGTGGGCATGTCATGAGTGGAGCGGGCTGGAGCCGGGGGTCAGACTAGATGGCCTGGGAGACCCCTTCTGACTCGCGCTGTTTCTCTGTTGCGTGGCTCCAAAAAGGTAGTGATGGGGAAAGCCACAGGGTGGGAGAATCCAGACAATCCCAGTGTGACACAAACAGGATTAAAATACAGAAAGAAGGGGTGCTTCTCCAGAAAAGACTGCCCTCCTGCACCCTGTATCTGCTGGTCTGGCAAGGGGAGGCAGGGATGGAAAGGAATGGGCCTGTTGGAAGGAAGGCAAAGGCTGTAAACTGAGTCTCTGGGCCCAAGTGACAAGAAGATGCAGTGGCACAAAACCACTGATGAGAGAAGCAGAAATTCTGAAGCCCTCGGAAACTGTCCAAAATTCATTTGAGGCTCCTTTTGGTTCATGGCTGTTCTTATTTGTTGCGTGTTTGTCTTGGCTCATTCAGATGGGAAACGTGCACAGTTTGAACAGAGAAAATGCGCATTTACCTGCAGAGTTTTCAGACGTGTGCTTTCCCTTATGGGCTAAAGGAGGGATGTGCACGTTTTTGGAAAAATGCACCTCTCCAAGAGTGCAATTTTTTTTAAGGTTCTCTCTCTCCCCACCCTGCCCCAGTATAGGAAACCATAGATCCAGTGATGCTGTTGAGGCTGATCCAGTAACCCTTCAAATCCATTCAGGGCTGGTCGTATCATGATAGAATAGTCCTGCAAACCAGCCTCTTTTCCAGAACTGGCAGAGAGAAAGCAAAGCTTTCCAGAGTGTATGAAGCGAAGCCACTGGAAAGCAATCTCGGATTTGGATGGACAAATCTGCCAGTTCTGGTTTCTCCCAGTTTCCAGATCACAAGTTCAGTTCATCCTGAACTCCATCTTTTGTTCCTTCTGTCTCCTAATGCATGTGATTTTGGGTGTAAGTTGGTTTAACCAGCAAGGTGGTGTTTGCATTTCTCCCTTGTGTGTGTTTTAAATGTTATTTTAATGAATCTTTTCTCACAACCTGCTTTCTCGCAACCTTTTCTGCTTTTAACAATCTTTTCTTGCAACCTTTTCTGCTTTTTTAAAATTTGTGACTGGGGACCCGCAACAATGGGAGAAGTGCCAATTTTGAATTTCAGGGTGTGTATTGGTTTGGAAGCATGGAACTGAACGACTGCATGAATGTGAGAAATGAATTAATTTCACCTACATGTCTAGTCTGGTGCTTATAATAAAGGACGTGGTTTTATGATCTAGCAGAGAGTGTGGGAAGCAACTCAACCTTAGTATGTGTAGCTCAGTCAGGCCCACTTCCCAATGATTGTCTGCTTAATGGGGAAACAGGTGGGGTTCACAAAGATGCACTATCAGGTTCCTGGATTAGGCTGGGGGCTCCCATGTGCTGCACCCCAGTTTCCAGATGGCAATGGCCTGGTCTACCTGCACATCACAATGAGGCGGCCCAAGGTTACATCAGAATGGAGGCAGGGAAGGTCCCAGCGAGTTCCCGTGTGTCTCAGGGAACACATTTCACCTCGAGTCTCAGACTCGATCCACAGCACCTCCAGGCTGGGCTAGAAATGCCCAGGACAGACGGACCAAGGGTCTAGCCTACCACGCGGCTGTTCCAGACATTCCTAAATCCAGGCCAGCAGAACTCTTCCAGCAAGGACGATGTGGTTGGGTTTTCCTTGGCTTCTAACCTACAAGGATTAATTGGCACAGGATGGACCCCCCCCCCAGCTCTATTGCATTATGATTCAACCATCGAATTCTGCTGGGCAGACTAGGTGAGCGTGGTGCACAGTGGAATAGCCTGGGAACGATCCACCTGCCAAGGGACACGCAAGCCGCTCGCAGGCAACCGCAGTCACCAAAGGACAGGCACCTGCGCAGGCACTGAGCTGGACGTGGGCAGATTTCCCTGCGTTCCTCTTTCCAGCAGCTGCCCATTACCAGCAGCTGATCCATCCAGTTGCAGCAGATGAAGAGAAGGAAAGATGAAAGAGAATGAACCTAGCGAGCCCCTCCATTCACCTTGCTGAGGTCCCTGGGCTACCCTTTCCCTGGACTACTTCTAGTCCTGGTGATGGTTGCAAGAACCTTTGTGGCATTTTCTGAACTGCCACCGACATGTCCTTAATTTCCTCTTCCCTCAGCATCGCCTCTCCTTTTCTGCTGTGTCTCAGATTGTAAACAGGCAGGCATGAGCTGTCTTTGCCTCCTCTCCCAAAAGCTCTGCGTCCGCAGGGCGAAGTGAGAAGGCGGCAAATCAATAATCACGCTGAAAAATAACAGAGGAGGAGAGTGGCTTGCGGACATGCTGGAGAACCATCTGCCACTTTGCCATGCCCTTGCAGAAGATGGCTTACTCTACCTTAAAAAAAAGCTTTCATTTTAAGGGCCATAAAAAAGAATACAAAGAAAAGAAAAAGGAACTACATGCCAGATTTATCCATGACCACAAAAGAGAACTGGTGAGAGTGTGTATTTGTATCCCCAGAGCTATTAAACTCCTCAGTGATGTGAACCAGATGGAAAATAAGACAAAAGAATTCACAACTCATGGTAGACTGATTTGAATTCCTTTAATTTCACACAATGAATAACATATGAATAGGATTAACTTTTTTTTTCTTTTTTCTGGTTTTTTTAATAGTTAAGTGCTCTATACTGTGCTAACCTGATTTGGTAGCGAAAAGACTGGAGCTTCCTTTTAGAAAAAAATGTTTAAAAACCAACATCTAAAATCATGAAAAAGCATGACATTTTAGCATGCCAGATGTACCTAACCCTCGAATAACAGCAAGTCCGTATCCATTTTTTTAATGTACAAAAATGCTTCATGAATAAAAACTGTTACAAAAAGAACATTTCAAACAAATGTACAAGTTTTTTTTGTCTTGCCTCTATATTCAATAAAATACAAATACATTTTTGCTCTAAAATATGTTTACATACAATCAAAGTAGAACATGCAAATTACACATTAAAAAAGGCTTTTAAAAACCACTTATGAATAGAAACTAAAAAGTAGCCAGCACGAATTAGAGAACAATCTTGTGCCCCGTTCATTTTTGTAGGATTTTTTTTAAATTTTTGAAATACATTATATACATATTTAACACTTTGTGTGCATTTAGTATTATTATTTAAGAAACAGCAATTTAAAAAAAAATAAACCGATCAACATGGGCTGGTACCATTTCTTTCCCAAGTTGACAAAATCAGCATCACCTTTCCTTTCTTCCTCTCTCTCTCTCTCTTTCTCTCCATCTGAAAGGGGCAGGAGGGAGGCTTCTAAGTGGCATCTTCTTCGTTATTAAATAGACAGGCATTTCATGGAAACCTCGAATCTGTTTCCTCAGGAGAAATGTATTTCTGATGAACAAACCCAATCCTAAGACTTGCTGTGCTAGCGACTGAACCGCTTGAATGAAGGAAACGCAGAGGTGACACCCGCGTCAAGCAAAGCTTAGGACAGTGCTCAGAGGATGGGCAAATATATATGATTTTTAGGACTGGGATGTCAATCAGTCCTGGTTGCATGTCCATGCTGTGGACGGGTGACACGTCTAAGCTGAATATTACTCTCTCTCTGTTAGAACGAGGCCTCATTCTGGGAAAAGGTTGCACTGGGAACGGAAGGAAGCATGTCCTTACCACAATACAGAGCTCTGAAAAATATACGGTATATTGGCTCTGTTGAAATTTATTCGGGAAACAAAAAGCAGGTAGTGGGTGGACTTTAGGGTGACATGGCCAACAACAGAAATCGCATACAGGAGTGGGACTGCTCTTGGACCAACATTGCATCTTGTGTCCTATCACTGATGCCGACGCTTGAATGGTTCAACATTTTGGTTTGCACAGCCAACTAGCCTTTTCACTGAGACTGATTTCTGTAAGGACCGACTCTTTCCTCTTCTATCCCAAAAGAAATACCAGAAGCATTTTGAAATGACTGTATAATTTGTTAAGCATTAACACTGGTACATTAATGCATTCTAGGAGCATGATTGCCCTGATCCAGTGAGGGCTTTCTGCACACTGAACATCACCATGGACATCTGAAGTGTTTATTCCCATTAACATTTTCATCTGTGTGCCTTTAAAAGGACTTTACTCTAGATGCAGAAATGGCACAGGGCCAGATACCTGCACATCATCTTAGGTATGTTTTAAACATGCTTGGTAGTGAGGAATGAATTTGGGGAATTTAAACATTGCCTGAATTGGATCATCAAGGAGATGGAATTGATTTTTTAAAAAAATCCGTCTTATTCAAAGATGGTGTAGCACCGTGCAGCCTTGAATCTCAATATTAAAAATCCTTAATCTGCACGCAGCACATTCTTTCTTATGTGTCTTCTGCCTGTGACTTTTATGTGGCACTGACAAAGTACACAAAGTGCAGTCAAGCTGCCACTGAGCCGCCTTGCCTTGCTCTTGTACGGACTGTCCTTCCTAAGTTTGCCATCTGAGCCAAAATCTGAATTCGCTGGTCATTAGCCAAACGTAGACGTCAGCACCCCCTTGCTCTCCTTGGATGTCTGCTGGCAGGTTTTGGGGGAAAAGGTTGCCCCGGAATGCCTTCTGGGGTGGGGGGTGGGGTTGCTGTGGAATTTGGGAGCTACGGCTCAAAGCCCAGCTGCATATCTGATGGAAACCGGTCATGGCTTCCTCTCTTGCTTTAAAACATAAATAAGACATTGAATATGGTGAAGCTTTTGCAGCTCAGGTCTTACATGGCAAGTGTAGACCGAAATAACCTAAGGATGTTGCTAACATGATTTGCCAGTGCAAATCAGCTCGAAGGTTTCATCAGACCCTTTCAGTCCCATCGCATGCAAGGGACTCAGAAGTCAGCCCCACTGGGTTCAGTGGGACTTACCCCCAGGTAGGGCTACCCAGAATTTCAGCTTCCGTATTCTTTGAGGTGCTAACTCCCATTTTAGGGAAGGAAGGTCTTGGATCGCTTCCTGGTGGAAGAATGGCGCGTGGAAAACATGGCGGAACAGCTTTGCCTGCCCTGCAGTGGCCACGGCTGCCTCCTTTTCACCCAGCATGAAGTGGCATCCGGCTTTGCATCTCTGTAAAACACCTGCTTGCAGTTCTGAGTGTGAATGCAAAATATTTTACGGATATATTTTGAGAAAAGATATATCCAGTGGCTGACAGTGATAAAATGTCCATCCTCTGCAACATCATAGCAAGCCTTTGCTGACAAGCACCAAAACCATCCAAACCGTGCGCTGGCCCTGTGACAGCTGCTCATGGGCACGAGTGTTGCCAACATGTGCCAAAGTGATGGGAGTTAAGTTGTCCACTACAGTGATGCTGAAAGGACCAAATCTGACTTAAAAAGTTTTGGTGTTGGTGGTGAGAATCAGAAGACAATATTCACCTGTATCTCAAATTCTTCTCTGTATTAAATCTTTCAGGGGTGCCAAGAGGTTCCTATTTTGAGAATTACTATTTGCATTCAGAGATATCGGTGCCTTTCAGTGTTAGGATCAAGGAATCACTCAGAAGATATCCAATGGATTGAGACCAGTCTCTGCCTATAAAACAGACAGGTGTAGCTGTCAAGTCAAATGGTGGCTCCACCTAGCAAGGGTTTGATAAATCTACTGGGTTTATCACAGCAGGACACACACCTTGAGAGGAGGACTCCTTAACTGTCTATTCTGGTCTGGACCACACCATCAACCAACTGTGCTATACATGGCGTTCTCTGAAATTAGAAACCCAGAAACACAGGTATGGTCTCATCCTTGTTAGAACTGAATGCAAGACTTTGTGATAAAGCCTGTGAGAGCTGGATAGAAAAAGGGGCTTTGCAATCTTGGGTGGACATGAGACCTAGAGTGCAGAGCAGCAGAAAGTATGGGCTTGACTCATGTGGTTTCTGTTTTCATGTGATGCTAGATCACACTAAAGGGGCTCCCATACCATAGCTTCTGTATAGCCTCAAGTTCCTCATTCTGCTCATCACCCTGCCTAATCTTGGAAGCTAAGCAGGGTCAGGCCTGGTTGAAATCTGGAGGGGTGACTTAAAGTGGTGAACTATCCAGAGAGCATTGGCCACAGGTGGTAAAGAAATGTAATTAATAATAATACCATAAAGTTTGGGGTGGGTCTCAGAAACCTGTCAGTGGATTGGAGTCTGCCAGTGCAACTCGACAAATGAGGGTTCTAAGCACCCCACATTCATTTGATGGAACAGACTTGAGAAGAGAAGACAAGACTGGGTGGGGGATATGTTAGCGCTTTTCAGAAAAGAGCTGGGAACTGTTCTCTACTAGGCAAGGCTGTAGGACACAAGGTATATTTTGGCTGAACATCCAGAAAAATTCCCTGGTGTTCACAGCAGTCAGACAATGGAACCAGCTACTTCGGGAGGATGGTGGGATCTAAAGCACTGACTGAAGACCCATCTGCCAGGGATGTTTTAAACAAGATTCTGAGACTTAAACTGGGGCTGCACTCAATAGCTTACATGGATCCTTCAAACTCTGCGATCCTATGCAGATGCATGTCATGGAATCCTGTTTCTGGTATACTTACGGCATTCAAAATGAGCACAGAGGAAGGCCACACCTGGAAGCTCTGCTATATTCTAGGCCACATAACACACCAACCCTGGTATAAGCAGCTGCAGCGAGTAGCTGCGTCATCTGAACACAGCAGAATTTCCGAGGAGCACTTGACATATATTTTCAAGAACATGGCTTGTTTATGGGTTGTTCTTGCCTATGATGGCTTCTTGTGCTGTCCAAACCCAGCAGGGCCATTTTATTGTGGGTTGTGGGGAATGGCTACAGAGCCACGTGACAAGGGCCGCAACTGCCTCTACCGCCCACTTTCGTGATCTTGCCCGTCATGGCCCTTCTATCAATGACAAAATGGCAGGAAAAACTAACACTCATTTCTCAGCCTTGATAACTTGATTTTTGAGGCCAAAATTGAAGGTGATATTAATGCAAAAATGTAATAGTAAGAGAAAACAGAGGGGGCATTTGCGCATCTAAGAAACTTGACTGTTACTGCAGCTGCTTAAATTCCCCCTCCAATTTCCTTCCCAGCCTTTCAATGTGTGCATTGTTCAGAGTTTGGCTGGATGCACCACGGAACCACGGGGTGAGGGTGTAGTGTCGCCCCTTTTGGGAGCGGTCACTCCAGCCTTAAACGTTGAGAAGGTTGTAATCCTGCACTTTTTGGGTGCACTTTTCATTCTACTCCCTCCGCCCCTTTTGTAGCTATGTTTGACTGACGGCTGGGCACTCAGATGGGTCAGCAGTGCTCAAAATAGCTGGAAAGTAAATAGAGAGTCGTCTTCTTTTTGACAGCAGAAACTGACAATGAAATTGACTGGGCAAGACTACACAGAGCGGATTAGCCCTTACATGTGCACTGAGAAAATTGACGACAAATTTTTAAAAATCAGGTGCAAAAAAGGGTCTTCAAATAAGCATTTTTTAAAGCTCAAAATAAACTCCCCCAAAATAGGAGGGAATGAAAAGCGGTAGCAACTGGACCACTAAGGGGGAGACAAGACAGGCTGTGCTGGGAAGGGCTGCTGGGAAGGAGAATAAAACCTGCTGACTCTGAAGAAGCTGAGTTGGGTTGTCCATCCACTGGAGAGAGGCTTAGCGTGACACGCAAGCCAGTCAACTGTTTGTGGAACGTTGCGTCACACATGTGTGAAGAGTTTCATCTTCCCATACTGGCGATGAGACTGACTACATGTAACACAAAAACAGGCTTAAACCTAAGTTGCAAAAAAGTCACAGGAAAGCTGCAAATAGCAGAGGCAAGGAAAAGCTTTAAAAAAGCTTCTGCATCTTATTTCAAATATTGCTAACATATGTATTTTTTTCTGAATTCAGACTACAATTATCTTGATTATCACTGAACCACTGTTTCTCCGCATGACCACAAAATGGTCACAGCTATGCCAGGTTAAGATCTTTCTACCACAATAAGATTGATAAGGGAAAGGAAAGGACTGTTTTAAATTTCAGCAACTTATTTTTTAAAGAAAGTATCATTGCTGCAACGATATAATACTTTCTCGAAAAATGTTTGCATTTTATCGGAATAGTTTTGCTTTTTCACTTTGAAAGCAAAATTATGATGATAATTTCTAGATTTGACTACGCTAAGTTGCCTCAGAACTTTAAAAAATCTTGGTGGATAAAAGTACACTTGAATCTGAACTGACAATTTAAAGAGATGATTTGTCACGCACATCCTCCATGCAGACTGATTTTTCCCTCCTTTTTAATAATTACATTATGTACAAAAGAAAAAAAACCAAAATTATTTTTCAGTTTATTAAGGCAACCACATCTTGGAAAAAAAGCCATGTCCAATGCGGTATTAATACAACATTATTAATACCCTTTGAACATCTAGATTATTATAATTTTAGATAAGAACACTTATTCCTCTTTCATGTTAATTTAGGAAATGCCTTTCATGAAATGACATATTTCTTCTGCTCCTTTTACTTTCAGCATGGTTTCTATTTCAACCAACTGCTACTGTTTTCCATATAAAAAACCAAGTCATGGCATTGCTCCACTGCTTGGACACACACAAAAAACTGTCCCTAAGTTTTCCACTGACTTGCCTTGGACAGCAAATATTTTGTAGGCTTGCATCCTGTCTGATTCACTTCTTCCCTGTATTTCCTCTGATCTTTGCTGATATGTTTCAAATAATCTTCTGTTCCCCAAATAGACTAGGCTATTGGGAACCCTTGCTTCTATCATCAATGGGAACACCCAGTTACTTCATGGGAAAACCTTTAAAAGAAAAGCTGGGCTTTGTTGTCCTGTGAAATACTAAGCTATTTTGCTATACTTACTTTTTGCATCGGACAAAATATTGACAAGGGTGGTGGCGGACGGGGGACTGTCAGATTTGGAGTTAGCGATTCAGGTCACTTGGGATCCATGTTGCCCCAAAGTTTCAAACCAAATAAATCCGAACTTGATAAATAGTATTTTCAAAACAAATAAAACCAAGAGCACAGTTGGGGAATTTGTGTTATTTTTGAAGTGGAAGTCCAAGGATTGTCAACTGTGTTCTTGGAAGAGGCCCACGTTCCTTAATGTCTGCCTGGCCAGGAGGAATCTGGTAAGTGCAATTTTTCCTTTCCTGCAACAGCGGCAACTGGAAAAGTAGCTGCTGGTGAATTTCTCCTGGCCACGTATCTCTTGCAAAGGAGCAGGGGCCCCCGTTAAGAAAGCTGCTGACTTGCCTAGGAGGGATACGGTTAATCCTGCCATGGGTGATGCTCAAGAGACTTGGTGTGAACCCCTTTCCTTTCTGAGACACAAGAAAAATGCTGGCTTTTGTTCAGAGAAGCTCTGCAAAAGAGATGCCTTCACTCGGCCTTACGATCTGCCTCTGCATCCCCTCCACCACACTTAACCCAAGGGCTATTGCCAATGATTTGTCACTGTTGTAATTATCATCATCATCATTACTGGTCATTCCTGTCTGAATTCTTAATGGCTGATGTGCTACTGACTACACAGCAAGTCTGATGCTGTACAAGGTATGGAGCAGACCTGCCCAACGGAGCGCTCCGGTCCATCGGCCCCAGAGCGCGACCCATCCAGCGGGGCCCTCTCGTCGGCCAGGCGTGCTCCTAGGGAAGGGATTCGCTTTCACTCCCTCGAGTCTTCCGGTGCCTTTTCACCTTCACGTCATCCTCCTCTTCCTCAGGATGCTGCTGCGATTTGTTTTTCCTTTTCCCGACCCTCACTGTCCGTAAAGGAGGCGGCGGCGGAGCGGGTGGCTCGGAGGTCTCTCGGGCCATATGGATAACAGCCTCAATGGTGGCAGCAATTGTATCTTGACTTGATGCTTGTTCCAACATTACAGGATTCAGAGTGAATCTTTGACCTCGTTTGCAAGGCAGGTCAACACATTTTTCCAAAACTGGCATTTGGTCTCTGGAGTCTTCATCAAAAGAGAGGGGCTGCTTCCGGGGACGCCCTCGCTTCTTCTTGACAAAGTTATTGCCCGTCTTTGATTGTCTCTGCAGCCGCTTGGCTTTCAGGATTTTGTTCACGTGATCCAAGTTCTTCTTTGTGGAGAGAATCTTGGTGTAGTTGCACATTTTGCGCACCTCACACTGGATTGCTTCGATTTCACAGCGCTTGAATCGTTTTTTGAGCGGTGAGCTGGCTGCAATGGGGAGGAAACAATCATGATTGAGTTCACAATCAACTGGAATTGTCACACTGGCCCGCAAAAGAGCTGTTGAGATACGATTAACGCCCGCTAATAAAAAGATTTGCTGGGGTTGCAGATTAGGAATAATGGTGAGAAGATGGGGCACTGCACAGAAAATAGATAACTGAAGCTATTTCAGAATTATTTGTTATAAGGGCAGGCAGTCATAGAAAAATGGACATTTATGTTGTATGCGTATAAACTTGCTGTTGCTATGACCTTAGTATACTGGCCAAATTAATTAAATAAAATCAGTAAGACTGTAGCAATGAGATCCTGTTCCCATTTCTTAATAGCCTTCAGCATAATCTTCTTAAGCAGTAGGAACTTTTGCAGCACCGAGTACCTTGCTTTCTTTTTACAGCTGTTTTGTTTAAATATGATTTTAAGAGTTCTACTTATTAATATTTAACTGTATTTAAATACTATCTGTTGTATAAAGAAGGGTCCCTTTTTTCTGCCCCCAGATTTAAAAAGTAACAAAGAGAGGAATCCTGGGATCCCTGGAAAAATTATATAGGTACCATATGTTGGTGCGGACTCCCTGCCCTTCCAAGGGTGTATTCGCTATAACCCGGTGCTGGAAGTGGGAGAGTTTGGAGTGGGGATTGTGGCCTTGGAAGAGGGGCAGAGATGAGGGGAAGGAGGTGGGATGGTGGATGAGGAAAGCTTCTTCCCACCTGTCCAGAACCACAGCAAGGTAAGCAAGCTAGAAATGCCTGTAAGGTGTAATTCACACCTCTGTTGTTACACCTTCCTTGTCTGCACAGAAAGGGGTGGGGAGGAAGGCTCTGGAAGGGGGACAGGTTCTGGCCTTGCAGCCTCTGACTGGATGGAACTCTAAGTTGTACCTATTGCTGTTTGCCAGATGCTGTTTTCTTGCGGGACCTATTTTGTTTCTCCCTACAATTCCTCCTCCTGACTGGAGCCGGGCACTAAATGGCGGCCGGAGTAGCGTTGCTGCCCATTCTTCAGGGATTCTCCATATGACTAACGCCTCCTCAGCCGCTCCAGTGAGCGTTGCTATTACAGATGTGGAATACGGAGGCTGAGAGAGGGGGAACTGGCACCAGCCATGGCAGAATTGTACTGCGACTGATTTACCTCCTGGCTCTGCTCACAGCTGGAGATCACGTACAAGCTACCCAGAGGTCTACCAGCGCGATAGTTTGCCCACTCCCGGCCTGGAGGAACGTGAAGATGGGTACAGGGATTTCAGTATTACTGGGTGGCTGAGAATCAGTGTTTCAGAGGCGCTGCTCCGCACGTGCCACCCCTCCCCCACGTTTGGGAGGCCCTTAGAGTGGAATTCCGTGAGGTTGTGGGAATCGGCCCCCAGAGCCCCCCCCCCCGCAAATATGCATGAAATACCCTTTCTAGTCATGCTTTTCAGTCATGCACAGGTGGGGGCGGAGAGACCCAAGCCGCTGTTTAAGCTAACTGTCCAAATAGTATGAGAAAGGAGGTAAGGGAGACAAAAGACAATGGAACCTCCGGTCGTTTTTAGCTCCTGAGGGACCGCACAGCGGAAGAGCCACTGTGCCCTTCAGCCGTGAAAATCACCCGGAAAAGGGAAAGATCCAATGCGGCGCAAAATTCCCCTTCTTTGGTGGGCCTATTTGCCTCCTGCTTTTGTGTCGAGGGTTTTTTCAGTGACAAGGGGCCGTCGGGCAAACTCTACTGGTTTTATGGGTGTGTCAGTAGCTTTCTCTGGATCGTCCTTTTCATTGCCCTTTTTACTAGTCCCCTCCGTTTTAGACTATACCTCTTCTGACGTCAAATGTGCCTGCGCTGAACTTCCCTGGCGATTTGACTCATCCACAGAAATTACATGGCTAACACCATGGCTGCTACTTTGAACTGGTTCTGTGACCTTAACGTTTCTTAGAAGATTATGGGTATGTGTTCCAATGGACGCATTCCAATGGAGCCAAGCTCAGGGAAGGCTCAATTTCGATGCCAGGAAGTACTTCCTGACAGTTCGGACCCCTTGAGTATGGAATGGGCTTCCCCGGGAGGTGGTTGAGGCCCCATCGGTGCGGGTGTTCAAGGATAGGCTGGACATGCACATGGTGGGCATGTCGTGAGCAGAGCTGGCTGGAGCTAGGGGTCAGACTAGATGGCCCGGGAGGCCCCTTCTGACTCGCTCTGTTTCTATGTACCACTTAGGATTAAGTCTTGGGTGCCTTCCTCCCTGTTTCGTCTGTCCAACAGTTCCAGGACAATTGCTAGGCTATCTAGAAATGTGACTTCTTGGTCCTGCACTGAAAATGCACTTGAGTCAGCCTATATGAGGGTAACTGCAATCACCCATTTATTGTCTGCCACCTGCAAGGGAGGGTCTAGGGAAGAGGGACTTCTAGTGGTGGCCCCCAGTGCTGGAATGAACTCCCCACACAAGCGTGCCTGGCACCCACACTGCCATCTTTTTGGTGCCAGAGTCAGACTGCGCTCTTCCAGGTGTTCTCTGGCAACCACTGGGACGTGCCAATTGTTTTAATGAGATTGGTCTTCACTGAAATTGTTTGAAGGGGCTGAAACTTGGCATATTGGCATTTTGTGCTGTATTTTATCGCATCTGCAAGATTGCATATTGGACCGCACAGATGGATTGCAGAGAGCCACTCAGGGAGCTCCCGCTATTGGATAGTAATGACTGTGGTCCAGCTGAATATTCATGACCTTGGAATTTAATACCCACTTGTGTTTGGACCAAGTTTTTGTCCCTGAGCTCGCTGCATGGGGACAGGGAAGGGCTGCATGTATGGACTGCACTAGGGGATTCCGTGTATCCTGAATCTTGGCTCTATTCTTGCGGAGGTGGGGGAGAATGGGAAACAAAGCACCCCTGGCAGGCACGGAATGAGCGATGCTTCCGGCAATTCTGCAAAGCATTTAATGGCCGATCAGTTACCTGCTTCCGACACGGCTGCTGTTGAAGGTAAGAGGGAGAATCCTGGGGCTGAGGACATGGCAATGCCATCAAGAGTGGCTGGTTTCTGACGGGTCGTCACGGATGACGCTGATCCCTCATGTTTATTGTGAAGGGAGGTCTGGTCTGATTTTAGGTGGGAATTGGTAATTCCTGGAAAAAAAAATAATGGTAATGACTGGGTGAATGGGACTGCTCAGAAATGCCCAATAAACGCCCTGCTGTGTTTCAAAGGAAAACTAGGCACCCCAGCTTTTCCCACTTGTAAATGTGTTTCTAATAATGCAGGTTTGATACCAGTGAAGATTATGAATTCTTTTATTGGGTTTCAGTCATTTTGCCTCAGGACATAACATAAACATTGATTCCCAGCCAACACATTATTGCCTCACAAATCTATTTTTAAAACAATATAAAGAAAGATTGTAATCACATCTCTATTTGGTGTTTTTTTCTACGTGCCTCCATGCACTTTGCTATATATCCCAGGGATGAAACCAGATGGGAATATCGTCAGGGTCCAACCATTTATCCCAAGACAAGGTCCTCCACACATTCCCGGCCCAATGGACAGGTTCCCAGTAAGCCCGTGACTCCGCTGATTCCCCCTTCACGCAATGCTTCCTTGCACAGGCTCTGCACTTTATTTCCTCCAGTTTTTCCTACTGTTTTCCTCTGGTGCCAACATTTTGTATCCCACACTTTCTGCAAGGCAGTTGGGGTGGTGGACCTTGGAGATATTCTATGCGATCCTAACAACAGTTGTGAAGTTGGGCCGAGATACTGTGCCTGGCTCATGGGTACCCAGAGTTGCTTCCTGCCTGAACAGGAATTTGTGAGCAGGTTTTTCTGGCACTACACTTTATCCCCTAACCCCACGGATTCTCTTTCTTTTTCAACTGAAGAACACAAATTGGCAACATCCCACATTCTACAGCAGCTTAAATGAAAGTAAAAAGTGATCTTTCAAAACATTGTGCTTCCCACTGGTGGCCAGCTTACAGGTTCTGGATGTCAAGGAGAGTTAACACAGAAGCTAACTGAGTAGTTTCAAGTCAGACCACAGTGCAGGACCTGGAAAGGCAAGTCAAGAACCTTAACATTCACGTGCAGATCAATCAAAGTGAGGGAGATAAAACCACGGGCAGCACTCAGCATCCCTTAACCATGTGTGTGCTAAGCTTTAAAACTGGACAAACCCCCCACCCCCTCTATCCACTGCTTATATAATTTGGGCAGACTCCCAATGAAATGGGATCTTGGTGCTTCTTATCTAGCTGAACTTGGCTGGCTACTAGGCAAAGCTTACTGAAAGGTATTTGAGAAACTTCCCCTCCCTGCAGAAAGATTCAGGTATGCACCTCTAGGTCACAGCACAGATAGCATCTTCTTTTTAGTTCTCTTTGACGCTTTCCTGCAGGTTTGGCGGTGTTGAAATCTAAAATGGGTGCCATCTGCACATTAGCAGTTGGGGTTAAAGTCTGGGCGAGGTTGCATGAACCAGCGAGCGGGAGATGGCCAAAGCATTACAGTAAGTATTTAAAAATGGGCCCCTGTATCAAAGACGGATGTTAAGTATAGGTCTTGGACATAGAAAGATTAAGACCAGTACGTAGACTCATTTTTAAGTACAGTTATGCAATACTTTAAAACTCGTTACATTAGAACTTGACTATCTTCCAACATGCTTCCAACCCAATGGCTAAAAAATGGGCTGCTGGGTTCTCCCCTAGCTTCTGTGAAATTGCTCCAACTACTCGTGCAAGCTTGGAGCTGAGAACTCTGCACCTGTGATGCCATTTGCACAAACTGGGCCCAACCCGTTAAATTCTAATTATCGTGGTTCTTGGAACAACTCACATGCGGAGTATGAAACATCCTGGGCTTATGACTGAAGCACACCCTCCCTCCACCTTGGCTTCCCTGGATTTCCCGAGAGTTAATTTCAGATTTGTGCAAAACTGGGGGCATTGCTCCAGAATTCTGCAGATTTACCGAGCGGAGAGCTGAATTTTGCATAGACCTTCAGGCTTAAAAACCAACCAACCAACCAACCAACCAACCAACCAACCAACCAACCAACCACAGATTGTACCCTATGTTAAAGATGAAGTCTCTGTGTCTGATAAAGTCAACACCCCTGTGGGGATAGCAGAATGGAATCTGTGGCACTGAACTGAGAAAATCCTTCACATTTTCACTTCCCTATTGGATTCCTCACACATTCCCACTTGGAAGTATTCTCCTATATGGTTGCATTATGTTTTCTTCTGCAGAATTTGAAAGCCCAGATTGTGAGCCTTGAGATGGGTCCTTTTCCTTCACAAACTTCAGATAACAAAGCTGAGTGTGCAGACAGTGACCAACTGCAAAAATGTGCAACAGGTCAGAGTTGTGCCAATAGTTCAAAGATGGGAAAAATAGTGTGTGTACATCTGCTTGTGTGTATGGGTGTGTATATGCACGTGCATGATAGAAAGAAAGAGCTTGTACATCCAGAATATCACAACACTAACCACCTCCTGGTACCAACATCTGTTGATAATTAAGCTGAAGATCCTGTATAAAAAGCTCTATGAAAACCAGCAGCTGCAACCTCTTGACCTTTATTGATAAAAAACACACACCCAGCCCCCAGTTTCCATCCCTCCCTCTTTAACCCGGGCCTCTGCGAAACCGCGCTTCACCGGATCAAGAGGCAGCCATCCATTTTTCAAAGGTAATCCCTCGCAAGCCACTTATCCTCTGAAAATCTCTGCCTGCACACCGTGTATGCATTAGGGACCCTTGATTTATGGATCCCCGATTCCTGGATGCTGAGGCCTACATCCTGTTGCCGTGGTTACTTGGATCTTGGTTCAAGGTTAAACTACTCTCCACTCAAAAACAGTGGCAGGTCCAAGCTAGCAGCCAGATTTTATTGACTTGCCTAGGCTGCTTCAAAGGTCAAAGACCAAAGTGCTGCTTACTGCCTTTGGGGGCAGTCAATACTTTCAATATTTTTATTTGGCTTCCTCTGAAGAAGTTGGGCCGTGCAGATGTGCTCCGTTGCCACCTAGCTGAGCTTAGCAAGGTCACACGGATTGTGGAGAAACAGCGTTCTCCTGGGGAGCTGCTACAAATTTGACAAACGACTTCAAAGAATGCTTCGTCCACCCTTCAGCTCATCATTAGCTCTCCACAGGGCCACTGGAGTCCGCGCCTCGAGAGTTCACTTTTGTTTCTAATTTATCTCAGCCCCGTTTGGAAATGAAGGAAACCCATGCCTTCCTCGGTGCTCAGCTCCAGATGGTGGTATGCTAGGGACGTATTTAAGAAGTAACCAGATGAAATGAGAGAAAGAAAGCCTGGCAAATATTAATACGCCAACCATTAGGTAGGATGTGTGGAACCAGTAAACTCCTGTTTGAACTTCATAGCTTTTGGCACATTTCCAACCATACCACTAATAGTTGGCCAAGTTGTTGTTGCTTTGGCTTCTGTGACAGTGCTTGAAATACTCGCGCAGATGAGAGGTGTATTACCTCTAGTCCAATTTGCGCAAATGGCAACTTGTGTAAATCAGAACTGACATGTCAGAGTTGAATTGCTGCAGCATCTAATGTTACTTCTCTCATGCCATTCACAGGCACATCTTGGCCATCTTGACTTTCCTCACAATTTATTGCAGATTTGTGCAAAATGTGAGCCTCTGCTCCACAGTTTCCACAAATATACACACTGTGTGAAAATGTATACAATTTGCACAAATGTACACAAAACATCGAATGGAGATGTTGTATTCAGTGTAAATATCCTCAGCTTTAAAAAAAAGACATGCAAATCACAACCCTCTTAGAAGCAGAGATTTGGTGGACTGTACTTGATGGCAGTAATGCCAGAAAGTGAAGAGGAACTAAAGAGCCTCTTGATGTGGGTGAAGGAGGAGAGCGCAAAAGTTGGCTTGAAACTCAACATTAAGAAAACCAAGATCATGGCATCCGGTCCTCTCACTTCCTGGCAAAGAGATGGGGAAGAAGTGGAGGTAGTGGCAGATTTTATTTTCCTGGGCTCCAAGATCACCGCAGACGGGGACTGCAGCCAAGAAATTAAGAGACGCTTGCTCCTGGGCAGGAAAGCTATGGCAAATCTAGACAGCATACTAAAAAGCAGAGACATCACCCTGCCAACAAAAGTGCGTATAGTCAAGGCGATGGTTTCCCCAGTTGCAATGTAAGGCTGTGAGAGTTGGACCATAAGGAAGGTTGAGCGCCGAAGAATTGCGGCCTTTGAATTGTGGTCCTGCAGGAGACTCCTGCCAGTCCCTTGGACTGCAAAGAGATCAAACCTGTCCGTCCAAGAGGAGATCAACCCTAACTGCTCGAGAAGGCCAGATCCTGAAGATGAAACTCAAATACTTTGGCCACCTAATTAGAAGGAAGGACTCCCTGGAGAAGACCCTGATGCTGGGAACAATTGGTGGCAAAAGAAGAAAGGGATGGCAGAGGATGAGGTGGCTGGATGGCGTCACTGAAGCAGTTGGCGTGAGCTTGAGTGGCCTCCGGGGGATGGTGGAGGACAGGAAGGCCTGGAGGAATGTTGTCCATCGGGTCGCGATGGGTTGGACATGACTTCACAACTTACAACAACAACAACAACAACAACAACAACAACTTGATGGCAGATCAAACTGTTACCAGTACAGGACAGATCAGGTTGTCGACCTCTTTCAGCGTTAGAGTCAATTTGGAAAAACGTTAGGAATCACATTCTGGTAGTGAATGGGGAAGAAGACAAAAGCGACAAGCCCCCAAAGACCAGAATATTTTAACTTAAAGAGAGAACACAAGTACAGCCTAGTGGTTAGGGCCACTTCATTTATTTATTTGAAGTTTTTATAAACTGTTCTTTAACAGACACTCTCAGAACTGACTCTTAGCCTAAGTTCCACTTCACAAGATTGTTGTGAGTAAAAAAAAAAAATCAGAGAGGAAAACACCACGTAAGCCATTATAACATGGAAAACGTGGAATGCAAATATGGTAACAATTGCCGTAGCCATGGTTTTGTACTGCTGGCCGCTTTAAGGAAGGCATGGGAAATGGGAAAAAATTCAAAAGCTTGGAAATCAGCATTAGCAGTCGGTGGGAAAGTAACTTGCTTGGGTCTCCCTG